CAGAGCTAGATAAGATTTTAACAACTCTGAGCTATTAGTTAAGTTCTCCCCAAGCGAGCTCGATGGGCCGAATGGCCTCCTCTCATTTGTATAGTCCTTATGTTCTTATGTTCTAACATTGCACCAGAAACACAATGACCAATGCCACGCAAAAGTCTCTAAAAGAATATCTGCCTGAGCAATTTCCTGGAACCGTTATCTTTGGAATCTGGGCAAACTGTGATGTTAGTAGTGTGAAGCAACAACAGAAGATCAAGAAGCATAATAACCAGTAGCCAGTGTCCGGTATTTCTGACTTGGAAGACAGATATAAGCCAGTGCCTCCAACAGCTTGCACTAAATAAGCAGGTGGTGTTTTCTTTAGACAAATATAGATTTCCTTTTTGTTCCCCGGGAGACAGTTTTATGTTCAATAAACAAAATATATTTTTAGAATGTTATTTCCTTCTTTTTGTCCCATTTTTTTTCTTTTAGATGTAAACATGCATGATTAACAGATTCAAGATGCAATATCAGGTTCTGCTTCAGTGCTGACTAATAACCCTAAGCCTATCATTATCAGGAATTATCTTGCAGTGGGTGTTATTAACCCTTCATGCTGTCATCCATCTTCCAGGGCGTCATTTCTGCCCTTGTTCCCTGTGTATCGAGTTGCCCGGTTCTTCCCCCAGTCCAAAGACATGCAGTTAAGCAAACTGGCATCTCTACAGGTGGGAAAGTTAGAGCGATTCCTAAAATATTCAGAACATAATTGGATTGGTCTGGATTGGAGCCTCAATGTGATTTGTTTTTGTCGGGCCCAAAATCTGTGAAGTGTGTCCTGTGAAGGACTGTCATCTCATCCAGGGTGTCCCGCTTTGCATTCTGGGAAAGACCCCAGGCCCCCCTTGTGAGCCAATACAGGGAAAGCAATTGTAAGATGTCGTCGTGCCTATTTCAGAGCATCACGGCAAGCAGCCAGAGGAAACAACCTGACTTTTCGGTCAGTGTGCTGAGCCCAAGGTCATCGTGCAAATGTAGCAGATAGTGCTGCCTTGTGGCTCCTGCCGGGGCAGGATGTGGCAGCTTTGCAGCAGTATTCTAAAGGAAGACCATTAGAAGCCAAAGTACAGCAGGGGCAGTACACCTTGGTGTTAAGGGGGCCAACTGTTCACACTCATTTAGGTGAGTAAGTAAACTGTTCCAACTTTTAGGTACCAAGCAGCCGAATAAGCTGATTGTGTTGAGAGGACATCATTTCCTCCATGGGGCACCGTGGAAGACCACCACGTCACACTTCCTGCAGAGGAGTTGCACTTTTTGCTGACACTGGTGAGTTGAGACCTTCGCCCGCATCTGGTTCCCCAAAGTTCATCTGAAAACACAAGAACATGAAAGACTAGAGAAGCTTCATCTCCCTTGGTGGAGCAGAGACTGAGCAGAGGAACTCTGTGGCCCCCTGCTCAAGCACTATACCCTGTTTCTTCAATAAACGCACTTGATCACACAGAGGACAGTAATGTATACTGTAAATATGCAAACATTTTTACAAGAGAAAACAGTTTCACAATGATGGTTTGTATGTATATGTATGCATGCGTGCGTGTGTGTGTGAGAGAGAGAGAGAGAGAGAGAGAGAGATGCGGACGTGGTTATTTCCAACTGTGTTAATGTGACACGTTCACAGACCCTGTAAGGGACACCGACGAGCAGCAGGACCCCTGGCTCAGGACATTTTTGGGAGAAGCACCTTCTTCAAGGTTAGTGACATATGGAAATCTTCGTACCCGGAGGTGGCTTGATTCACGACTCAGTTTTTTTTAACTTGAGACTGTTTCCAACTTATGGAAAAGACTCCACTTGTATTTGGATATTGCTGACTACAAATATGACTTAGACATCATAAATGACTCACATTCTAACACCGCAGTTAATATTACTTTCCATCTCGATTTTTCCCATCGTCACCAACTCCACAATTGTGTTTTCAACTGCTCTTATCTGAATCTCTTATCTGTGCTGTTTGCTCCCATAACTTACTGCATCCACCAGGCGGTCGATAAATTATTTGTTGATAGTAGGAAGCAACTGTGGCAGCATTGGTACCAAAAACCTTTGGCTACTGAAATTTTTAAGCAGACTATGTTTAAAAAAAGAAGTACAACAGTATGCAAAACGTGGGACGAAATATCTGACACTGACGACAATAAACAAAGTACAACAGTATGCAAAACGTGGGACGAAATATCTGACACTGACGACAACTTAAAATTTCATTCTATATTTCAAGACCCATAAAGAGAGGATGGTAAACTAGCAATAACTTATTGAAGGTGCAAATTAGCATCTTACTTTAATGTTAAATGTCCCGGTCCTTTTGTTTGTATTACATTAGTGATGTTGCATTTTCTAAAGATTTCCTAACAGTCTGACAGGACGCTAGGGTTAGGGTTACGGTCTTGAGGCTAAACTCTGCAGTGCTGGTTTAAAGCCTTGTACCCTTACAAAATTACTGCTCAGGATTTTTCATGCATTCACATAAACGTTCTGATTGTCAGCTGTCTGGTCCTTGATTTGTGGAAGATATTAGGGGCGTAATGGTTGGCCTATTCACAAAAGTCAAGGTTCGGTGGAAACCTCGGTTATGGGTTCACGGTTCGGTTAATTAGAACTGCAAACAAACACAATTAGGAACAGTTGTAAACCAAAGGCAATGCGTTAGTTATGTGCACATTGTAAAAATAAATATGGGAAATTTTTTATGAAAAATATAACATCGTAACAGTATGGTTATATCTGTTGCGATAAACACCCTGCGGTCTGCATTTCGTGGCAAATCGCTTTAAATATCAAATTGAGAATAACTTGCAGCGGCTGTTCCTGCCTTGTTCTGGCTGTACCCACACTCGGATAATCTCAAGTTGGCATGTTTGATCATTCAACCAACATATCCGATTTCGGTAAAACAGATTCGATATAGAATCTTGGTTGTTAGCAACTCTCTCCAGGGCACAGTAATTACTAGGAAACCAAATGTCGATCTGCCGATTATGACCTACCTGCCATAACAATTTACAGCCACAATTAGGCTACTTGTGAACTTATTCGTTTACTTGCGCTTACTGAAACGAAAATGATGAACCAAACGGTATACGACGAATACGTTACAGCCGTAGAAGACATGCCCATATTTTGTCTTATAAAGTTATATTTAACCTATTTTACATCATTCATGTATTTAATTTTTGCCTGGATGTGTAGTGTTGTACAGTAATTCTGTTGCGTGCAGCGACGTATCAGGGTCAACTTTGGTCAGCTGGCTGGCGTGAGATTTTCAGGTCGAGATAACTGTATTACCTTGCAAATAGCCTATATGGTTTGCAAATTACCCCAACGCTTTTCATGAAGCTAATTTTAGGTTTATAATGGAATAATATACATTTGCCGTGAGATTTCTTGCGAGTGTCACACCAGATGCGTGAGAGTTGACTTATTTCTAGTTAACAGATCTGGTGCATGGGGTTTATAAATACAGGATTTATTTAGTGTTACAATATCACTTGGAATACAACTGTAATATTACTTGGAATCCAGGTCATTTGGTGCATGAAGTAATTGGGAATTCCCTAACTAAAACTAGTGTGTGAAATTATTACATAAAGCCACAGGAACTTTGTCATTAGTTTATGGGGAGCAAAAGGATTTCGTGGTATATCTAGTTTTAATTCACACATTATGTCATTAGCACGACTGAAGTATGATTTGTACCCTTATTACAAAGTGTGACCCTTTTTGGCCAATACAGTGTGAGTGTGTGTGTGTGTGTGTGTGTGTGTGTGTGACAAAGCTTTAAAACATTTTTTTTAAGATTTCTGTATGTATTTTCTTTAGAATTGTTTTGGATGTGAATTGTTGAGCACTGTTAAAATGCAATGGCAAATGTGCATAATTTAGAGTGAAAAAGAAATCAAAATATTTAATGTCAACTTATTTGAATCGTTTACTACAGGAACTCTTTCCCAATGGAGATGAAAAAATTAGTACACTTGAAAAAGATTAGCAGTGAACTGACAACTTTTTTAAATGAATCACTATTAAATGCATTACATTATTACTTAATTAACCACGATCACATTACCATGGTTACTAATTTGACTAAGATGACTTTATTTGACTTCCTTTATTCTGAGAAGCATGACTTGACATTTGACTTGATAATTGATGGTTAGCACTTGTGAATTCCTTGTGACTCTTGTATATGTGACTTAGTCCCACGTCTCTATGCACCTCTGCATCACATCCATACGTATAAGTGTTTGACCGGGGAACGGTGACAGACGAGCTGGTAATATGTCCATGTTAAGTGAGATCTCACGTTCCACTTTGTGCAGAGAGTGAGTACTTGTACGTTTGTGCATTACAGCCTCAACTCAGACGCACGCAGTGAATGCTGTGTTTCTGTGGTACATGCACTTGTTTCCAATTATGACAAATCACTTTAATTAAGATGCATACTAAGTTTTTATGACAAAGTATTTTAATTAAAGCATATACTGTGTTCTGATCTTTAACAAAGAACAGCAGTGTGCTGGTTTTAAAGTAGGACACACACACTGTGTACTGATTTTAATCTAAGAAACATATGGTATGTACTGGTTTTAAGCTAAGATACATACAATGTATACTGGTTTTAATCTAAGGCACGTACCATATGTACTGGTTTTACTCTAATACACATATGGTGTGTACTGGTTTTAAGCTAAGACATTTGCATTGTGTACTGGTTTTAATCTAAGACATATGCAACGCGTACTGGTTTTACTGTAATATACAATGTGGTGTGTATTGACTTTGTGCAATGTGTTGTATTGGTCTCAGATTAAGACACCTGCAACAGATACTGAGGTTTCCACCAAGACATATACACTACTGCGAATTCTCTCTTCAGCAGAACCAGTAAACATGAACTCCAGTAATACAAGGCAACTGTCCAATGAGACTGACCTGACCAGCCTCTTCACCCGCGAGGTTCGGCCCGCACTCTACCTCCTGGTGTTCGGCGTGGGTCTGGTGCTCAACATCCTGGCTGCCTGGATCTTCTTCAGAGAGCTGGGGGGCTCCGGCCTGGTGGTCTACCTGAAGAACATGGTGGTGGCAGACCTGCTGATGCTGTTCGCCATTCCCTTTCTTGTCGCGGGTCAGCTGGGCATCGGTCAGTGGTTCGTGTGCCGCTATGGTGCCGTGCTCTTCTACGGCAGCATGTACGTCAGCATCGTGTTCCTGGGACTCATTGGCCTGGACCGCTATGTGAAGGTCATATGTTCCACTGCAGGCCCTAGTCGTTTCCAGGGGGTGACGTTTGCTCGCACTGCATCTGTACTCACTTGGGTCCTGCTGGCTGTAATAACTCTACCTAACAGCATGCTGAGCAGCAAAAACATAGCGGAACTGGGTGGCACCTCAGACTGCATGCGTTTGAAGACCCCGCTGGGCATCAGCTGGCACAACGCCTCTTCCATCACGTGTGTGTCCATCTTCTGGGCGGTTCTGCTGCTGCTGATCTTCTGTTACGCTGCCATCGCCCGGCGCGTATCGCAGTCGCACCAAGGAGAAGCTCGCAGAAAGTCCATGCGCAGCATCATCAGCATCCTGCTGGTATTCAGCATCTGTTTCGTCCCGTATCACGCATGCCGTGTGCCCTACACGCTCAGCCAGGGCTCCTCCACGTTCTACAGCCAATACACTCGCTACGTCCTCTCCCAGCTGAAGGACACCACGCTTCTCCTGTCCGCCTGCAACGTCTGCTTGGACCCTGTGATCTACTTCCTCATGTGCTCGACCTTCCGGAAGGCATTGATCAGGAAGCTGTCATGCAGAGCTTCTCCGGTCAACAGCAGAGCCGTAACAACTGCTCCAAGCGTCAGCAAAGTGTAAAGGGGTCTCCGAGTCGGTGTGGGGAGAGGTGTTGTGCTTCAGCCTGCTTATAACAGCACCTGTGCCTCATGGTACCATAACCGGATGACAACAGACAGACCCTCCTGTCTCTGAAGATTCCATCATTTAAGGAAGATACGGGAAATGGACTCAGGGAGGGCACTGTGTCCAGGGGAGACACAGGAAGTGGCTCTGACAGACGGCTCCACAACAGGAAGTTGAGCAGGTGCCTGACAGGGACATAAGCACGTCCTCCCCAATGCCTTTTATCTACTTCCTCATCCCATCTAGCGTTTTTATCTCTGCTTTGGGTGAGAATATAAACGCAGCTGAGAAAACATAGCGCGCAATATTTATACATGTCTATATCTGTCACAAGGAGTGACAGATAATTTGCTAAAAATGTCTTGCATTCCTGTTCGGATGATTTCTGCTGAAATGAGTTTCTATTAATTCTGTTATTCCTAATAGGCAGTAGTTTCACAATGTGCATATATATACACACACACAGTCCTGTTTTTTAAATATATATATATATATTCTATTATTTTGTATAAAGATAAATAGCATTTCAGATACTTGTGGGTCTGGTCATTATTTCCGCTTGGCTGCGTTTGTTGCTGAAGCTTCAAGCAGCCTCAGATCAGTGCTTCTCCAACATCTGCTTGCTCTGCAGATTAATGCATGGATGAGGATACCTGTCCATACTGCGTCTATGCATAGGAATTATCTATAAATCCATCTGCCAATTTTCTATAACTTCTTTTTCAAGGAGGCAAGGTTCTCAAGGCTGGGGACACTCTAGATAGGATGCCAGTCAGTCACGCAACAGGGCAGGACTGGGTCCTAGTCACATGATGCACTCTACTTGGGGGGGAGGTTAGAGAGGTGTTTTTTTCGTATGAAAAAGCTGCTGAACAGCATAACCTTCTACTTACTGCCGCTATGGTGTGCAGCTCCCAAAAATGTCCAGTATCACCAGACTGTTCATCAGGGGATAAAAGAATCCCTTGGACATTGGAGTTTGAGACATTTCAGTCTTCCCTGTCCCTTCCCAATATTATCCTTTAGAGCAGAGTTCCCTAATTCCAGTCCTGGGGGGCCAGAATCCAGCACAGTTTGCAGATTTCCCTGTTCAAACACACCCAGTAAACCTAGTCATTAGCTGATTAGGATGTGTTTGAGCAGGGAAATCTGGCGCTTCCGGAACTCTCAGCACTTGTCACTCACAAAATGTGACAAATATACAACGTTTAAACTGATATCACTCGAGAGCAGTGTGACTCGTAGTTATGTGCATGTTACTTAATTTTTAAACGTGTGCATGAGCCTTGCAAACGCTGTGTGATGATACTGAGCAGCTTGAAAACTGCTGCCTTTTCCTCCACTCCACTGTAACTTGCAACACTGAGTCATGGGGGTTGCAGCACTAAACCCAAACAAACCACCGATTTTTGAAAAACTGCCCGATTGCCCAGACGGGGGCCCAGAAAGAGGATGTATCTGGGGAAAGCCGGACATTTGGTAACCTGATCCCTGGCAAGCTGTGAGAACTCCTAGGGGAGTCAGTGTCGATTAACCTGTTCCAACCTCGAAACATCAGAGACACAGAGAAATCAACTGAAAATCTGTAACCTCAAGGAAAGCCATTAATAAAGCCTTTACATATCTTAAAATATCACTCTTCACATTTAGTTAGTGGTCTCTGCAACTTTGGTTATCACCACATCAGATATAGCCAAAAGTATTGGGACACCTGGTCATTACACCAACAGGAACTTTTATGACATCCCATACTAAATCCATAGGCATCAATATGGAGCTGGTCTCCCCTTTGAAGGTATAACGGCTGCAGATCTTCTGGGATGGCTTTCCATAAGATTACACAGTGTGTTTATGGAGGGAATTTTTGCCCATTAATCCAGAAGAGCATTTGTGAGGTCAGGCACTGATGAGAATGTGAAAGCCTGGCTCACAATCTCTATTCTCGCTCATCCCAAAGGTGTTAGGTGGGGTTGAGGTCAGGGCTCTATGCAGGCCCGTAAAGTTATTCCACACCAAACTCACCCAACCATGTCTTAATGGACCTTGCTTTGTGCACTGGGGCACGATCATGCTGGAACTTCCCCAAACTGTTCCCACAAAGCTGGAAGCTTAGAATTGTCCAAAATGTCTTGGTATGCGGAAGCATTAAGAGTTCCCTTCACTGGAACTGAGGGGCCTAACCCACCCCATGAAAAAAATATCCATACCATTATCCCTCCTCCACCAAACTTTACAGTTGGCATAAGGCAGTCAGGCAGGTAACGTTCTCCTAGCACCCGGTAAACCCAGACTCGTCTGTCAGACTGTTATAACCATGAGTGATTATATCTTCACACTGAACAGGAAGTCTGCATACAGCACATATTATAAAGATCTCTCAGTTTGTCTCAATCATAATGATATTTCATGATTTTAATTTTGTGCAGCATGCAACTTGCTTCCACGTCCACATCCTGTCACTTGGTGCACTGCGCAGGGCTCATGCTTGTACCTTTTTCTAAATCCCTGCTCTTTTCTTCATTGACTCTGCTGGTTTAGAACGGCTGAAGTGTGGGAGCCAAGCTGGTCAGCTAGTAATAACTATGGGAGAATTTCCACGCCGTGTGCTAATCTTCACCGCTACATGCTGGGAGTTAAAGCCAGACATTCTCACGGCCCCTGTTCTGTGGCTTTACTCCATTACTCAGTAGCATTTAGCTACATCCCTCCCCAGTCTATGTTTCTTTTTAATTTTTGCCTTCTTTGCACCCCCTCTCTCCTTCTCCTTCTTGCTGTCATTGTCCTTTATTTTTTGTAACACATTGCTGCCAGTTAAGCTCATACATGTTCCACATGCTGCAATTCAAGGCAGACCAGGACTGTACCACTTGGGGTGGAGGTGCTCGTTTACTTCCCCAAATTACCAAAAACAGAGATTTTATTGTGGACTGTGATGCAGTGACCTTATGTGTGTGTTTTGGCAATATATGGGAGACATCAAGGGTATGTGATTGCTCGTCTCTTAGCCGACCAGGTGACACAGCAAGCCGCTTCATGTTCAACAAGAAACTCCATATTGTTAGCATACAGTAATCGACCTGAACTGGACCACTGGGAAATCTGATTACTACACTAACATTGAACAGACGATCACAGACACAATCACTCACTATAGGCAATTTACAAACAGCAGTTCACCTAACAGTCTGCTGCATGTTTGGCTTCACTTTTTGTCTTGCATTAAATTTCTTGCCGCTGCTTAAAGAGCAATCTTTGGCAGCTAAAATGCTTGAACATAAAGAGCAATTTCACATGATGACATTTTCAGTAAGACCAGATCACTCAGACCATATATGTCACTTCATTTCCTATGAGTTTGGAAATGCAGACTGAGTCATTTCTCGCTCTGGTGATTAATAGCTAACGTGGTTGTCTAGGGGTGGATAAGGAAGTGGCAGAACACATGCTCAGAGACATAATCACGCAACAACTAAAAAGCCGCTCATTAAGTATCGCTCTTCTGATGCCATGGTGTTCACATCGCATGAAATCCCATAAAAATGAAACGGCAAGAGAACAGTGGGGACATGTGATTGGTCTCTTTGAACACGAGTCCGATAATCTCTCTGTGACGTCAATGCGATCAACTTAAGGAAGGAGACATCGCTTCACTGAAGAGACAGACAGAGGTAGTAGTGATTTACACAGGGAGGTCTACTTCCTGTCTTTCATACTCGCCCGTGAAAATCCATATATTCCTGCACAACTCCAAGGATGAGGTGAGTGCCATTATTTTGGACCATGTGATCTTGTCTCAGCTCCATTTCTTCCTCTTGACGTTACCGTGGCCATACACTACTTGTGGTTTACTTACAGCAAAGCATATGGATGTAGTAAGACCATAATTTTTGGGTTTACTCGTCTGCCTAAAAAAATCACTTTAACTGCATTTAATTCTTTTGTTTGAAAATCTGGAGAGTCCAAACACAGAACTACAGATCAACAGATGTGACCTTTAAAGCAGATTTTAAGTGCAGAAATTCATACTCAATCTGTATTTTTAAACATTTACACAGTGCCGGTGATGTTTGACATGTACATTTTAAAGTAAAATAATTATTCTGCAGTATTATTCTGGAGAATATTATCCGACCACCTTATTGTTTTATACCTTTATTTAGATGGCCACTTCACAAAAGTGTTTGAGCACTAAAAAGGAACAGAGAAACACTGTGTCTCAGACCTGAACCTGCAACATTTTAGGATAGACGTTTCGTTCTAGAATAGAAGTTTCGATCAAAACTGCATTTGACTGCTTTTTGTCTGATGTTTAATAGTAGTAATCTGCAGTATGATTATATCCAGAAGATGGGATTTCCCATGAGTAAAAGAGTGCTGTGCAACAGTCCCTCTACCTATCCACATGTCAGTCAAAGTAACGGTATTGACTCATAAAACATGACGAAGAGGACAGCTTAGGGAAATTCTCTCTCAGCTAAAGACAACATGTCAGAAGCAAATTAAGAACAGGAGCAATTCATAACTGCTAGATGTAACAGGGATGTGGGATCTGAACCCATTTCCCAAAGCCTGATGCTCCTGATCCTCATTCAGTTTCATTTCCTAAATCTGTCACACAATTTCCCTCAATAACAAAAGACTGTCATCTTTAATCCTTCATCAAACAGGCGTGTACTAGAAATGTGTTCTCTTTTTTCCCTACAGAACAATGAAAATAAGCACTTAAAAAAAATCACTGTTACTGTTTTTGTATTATAACAATAGGCTTTACTTATTTTTTGCAGGTTTTGATGGGCTTCTTCTACAATCTGATTCATCACCATGACACCGACCTCAGGTCAACTGCCCCGCACAGATGTCAGCAACATCTCTGAAGACTGCAGGGTCAATGACCAGATGCTGCCCTTTACCTTCTTCTACTCCCTCATCTTCCTGATAGGCATGGTGGGCAGTATGCTGGCTCTCTGGGTGTTCTGCTACAGTCGCGATGCCAAGAAATGCATCAACGTGTACTTGATCAACCTTCTCACCGCCAACTTCCTATTGATGCTGGCCCTGCCCTTCAAGATTACCATCGATCTGGGTGTGGCTTCCTGGAATCTCAAGATCTTTCACTGCCAGGTGTCTGCTGTGCTCATCTACATCAACATGTATGCCTCCATCATCTTCCTGGCCTTCGTCAGCGCTGACCGCTACCTACAGATAGCCAATAGCTCACGTTTCTTCCGTATCCAGGATGTGGGATTCGCGAGGATGATGTCACTGGTGGTGTGGGCACTTGTCCTGTTCATCATGGTACCTAACATGGCCATTCCCATTAAGACTATTCCAGAGAAGCCCCACGTCACCTGCGCTGAGTTTAAGCAGGTGGTAGGCCTCCACTGGCACACACTCACCAACTTCCTATGCATGGCTGTCTTCCTGAATGCCTCTGCAGTTGTACTGCTGTCCAATGGATTTGTGCTGAAGCGGCTCTGGGCCGGAAGGAGAGGGAATCCAGAAGAGCAAGATGGAGCCCGACGTGCCACAAGGAGCATCGGCACGGTGACGCTGGCCTACATCGTATGCTTCGTGCCCTACCACCTGGTCAGGACACCGTACACATTCACCCAGAACCAGGTTCTGAGCGGCTGCTCACTCAAACGCCAGCTCTTCCTGGCCAAGGAGTCAACGCTGCTACTGGCTTGGACCCCGTCGTCTGCTTCTACCTGTCACACTCCTTCAGACAGAAGATCACTGAGGCTTTTCGGGCAGGGAGAACTAGCTTCCCACAGTATTTCCTTTCCAGGAATGGATCCCCTTAAAGCAAGATGGAGAAAAATATGCCAGATAACAGGTTGTTTCCAAAATGACACGAAGAGGACATTCTCCTTAATTCAACATGCGACCCATTCTCAGGATTAGTTTTATTAAAATTAATATATATGTTTTTTGAATGAGGGCTTGATAGAAGTAAATATATAAAGCTACTTATTTTGGTAGGTTTCAAAGTACAGATGTTTTACTGCTATGTTAAAATGCATTAAAAATTATTGCTTTGGTTAAAACCACCAGTTCCTCTTCCTGCAAACAAGAACGCACACAGTGTTACTGAATCGTGTATGGGGGGTTAAGTTTGCCTAGAAGCTAGACCACAAATAATGACAAGAACCAAGCCCCATGTCACCGCTGGTCACATGGTTCCTACAGCACAACCACTCAGAATTTAGCTTCTCATAACCACTCACCGCTGAGCCACGGCTCATAACCTGCAGTACAAAAATTTAAGGACGTACCAAGAGCAGAAAAACTCCCTCAGCTCATAGTTACTGCCATCTGCTTGTATTGAGCCCGTCACAGAATTCTACTGCATCAGGCATGTTTACTGCTTTCAGTACTGGTGTAGGAAATAGATGAACTTTGAAAGCTACTCAGGTAAACAAATTGCAATGAACCTGCTTGAATAAAGAACTGAATTCTGATCCCCCTACTGACACCCTGAAGAACTGCAGCCAAATATCATTCTCGATATCAGTTTTTTGGCTTTTTTTAAACTAGGGTGTTTAATTTAAGGAATAATATACTACAAGGAGTGCAGTTGTACTCCAATATGTCACGATTGTGATCCGGTTGTAGCCTCAGGCTTTTATGCAACAGTTCATCGCATAGCATATATAAGGTACAGTAACAGTAATGAGATAATGCAAATTTTCTTTATTTATTTAAACATTTATAGGCCTCCGCAAATAAAAATATTTTGTTCGATGTTTGTTTGTTTGTTTGTTTGGGAGGTGGTAAGAGAAAATAGGAGGAAAAAATTGGGTTTTATTAATCACCAAAAATTAGGAACATTAAAGAGAACACTACTGAACATGTTAGATTAACTTCACATAAAATAATTACACTGCTGTTCAAAAGTTTGGGGTCACTTAGAAATGTCCTTGTTTTCCATGGAAATATAGCTAAACACACAGGAAATAGTCATTTTTGAAATTAAAATAATAATTGTCAAAGAGTCTTCCATTTGCAGCAATTACAGCCTTGTAGACCTTGGGCATTCTAGATGCCAGTTTGTTGAGGTAATGTGATGAGGTTTCACACAGTGCTTCCTAAAGCATCTCCCACGCGTTGGATCGGCTTGATAGGCAATCTTACGTACCAAGGGCAAGCTGCTCCCATGACAGCTCAGCAGAGCTGAGACCCGGTGACTGTGATGGCTGCTCCATCATGCACAGAATGCCAGCTGACTACTTCTTCCCTAAATAGTTCTTGCCTGTTTCTCAAACTACACACTCTAATACATTTATCCTCTCGCTCAGTTGTGCACTGGAGCCTCCATCTCCTCCTTCAGTGTGGTTAGAGCCAGTTTGCACTGCTCTGTGAAGGTAGTACTACATAGCATTGTACCAGATCTTCAGTTTCCCGGCAATTTCTCACACACAATGGCTTTCATTTCTCAGAACAAGAATAGACTGGTGAGTCTCAGAAGAAAGTTCTTTGTTTCTGACTATTTTGAGCTTGTAATCGAACCCACAATTGCTGATGCTCCAGATACTCAACTAGTCCAAAGACGGCCAGTTTTATTGCAGTACGACAATTTCCAGCTATGATAGTCAATTACAACATTAAAAATATCTTTCATCAGGGGTCACCAACATGGTGCCCGTGGGCACCAGGATGCCCCAAAGGACCACAAAAGTCGCCTGCGGACCTGTTCTAAAAATAGCACAACTCACCAGTGAGCGGTGTCTAAAATTTAATTTTATCCTGTCGCTGTTCTTCTTTAATCATATTTACATTTAAATAGATTTGAAAATGACAATATCTTAAAAAAAGGTTTTAAAACATGCTTATTATACATGAAGTTTAGATAAGTTTCGTATGGCTCAGTACCTGTGAAGTACCTCTGTTTCAAAAAGGTTGGTGACCCCTGGTCTACACAGTATTTCTGATTAATCTGACATTATATTAATGGACAAAAGCAAGAAAATTTCTGTGACCCCAAACTTTTCAATGGTAGTGTACTGTACGTAAACAAAATCAATTTTAAATTAAAAAACAGATCAGGCGGAAACACACAACCGGGAGCAATCCAAAGCCGAAATAATGTCCCCAACTGGAGGATTTACGCTATGAGATATAAGGTGCATGTAATCAGGGTTCAGAATGTTCCGTTAGTAATCAGGTAAGGGAGGTCGTTAGCGATTCCGTGCGAGAGAATCTGCGGTCCGACACGGCTGTGTAAGTGTGGGCCTGCCGTGCAACAAACCAGTATATTCTACAAATCAGAAAAGATGCCAACAAAATGTACAAATTATATTACACCTATTTCATGATGGAGACCTGATACTAATACAGGCTCATTCCACTACACTGCATGATGTTCATTGACACAAATGAACAAAATCCACAGCCTTCAGTGCAGCACCCTACTGTAGCTAAAGTTATGCAATATTTTATTATTATTATTATTATTATTATTATTATTATTTTGTTTTTATAATAATCAACAATCGTTGCATTCGTTTCTCAATAACATTACGGTACATTACTTTCAGTTCCAGTTGGCACGTTCACAGCTGCCGGGGAGCAGCGTTCTCACTTGTTCTGCATGCCACGGTGAATATTTGTAGTTCATATGGTCGAATGAATACGTTTACGGGGAAAAAAAATAAATTATGATGAAACCTTTCATTTTTAAAAAGGTCACTTTAATTCAAATGCAATAAAGTGCATTTATGCCTAAACGTATCGATCTGCAGTTCTCTTTTTTCCACTTCAATTACGATCAGCTAAATTGCGCTATAGATCAAAACATGACATCTCTTTTCTTCCTAGTAAAGAAACGACCCCGTGTGGCTGTATTAAACCCAGTGCTCCCATCTGTCCAATGAGGCTGGAGTGGCCCACGGCGCGAGGCCTTCATCACCCTCCAAGAACGCGTCATCGACGCGCGCTCCCAGAGACAGTACCGAGTTGCTTGGAAACGAAGTCTGCTGCAAGACAAAGTCGTAACTTAAGACGATGCATTCAGATCCGTAACAGCGCTCATGTAGCTCGTCGGCAATGAAAGCATGTCACTTTGGGCATTAGGCGTAATGCTCTGATACTGGCTTTTTAAAAATGCGGCAATATTCCATGCACTTGGGATGAATTGGGATACTTAAGTGCGGACAATGGTCCAGTTTTATATACACTGTTGAACGACTAGTGTGCAGCCACCTGAAATCGGACCCAATATGCCAAATCGTCAAAAGAAATTCATATTTTGCGTAGGCGGAGTACTGAGTTTTGCTTGCGTCCTAGTGGTGGCGGCTGCGATGGGTACTCAGTTCTGGTTGAAAGGGACCGTCCTGTGCAAGACCGGCGCCCAGCTGGTCAACGCGACCGGACCCGAACTGGAGAAGTTCATGGGGCGGATCAGCTACGGTCTATTCCACGGACAGCGGCTGAAGCAGTGCGGTTTGGGAGGGAGACCTCTGCGCTTTTCCTGTGAGTAAATATGGGAGGACAGGGTAACAGTACATTTATTATTTACAGGATACGTATTCTCATACTATTAATTATTGAATAAGCCTAATTGTCTATTAAAAATAAAACTTTGAGTTGCAATGTGGACTTATACAAAACATGTAGGCCTGTATGTGACACTGTTAATTAATACTTCTCTATTTTAAACTGATCGCTAGTGTGATTAAAGGCTATAGGAGAATTGTTTGCCAAATTGACGTTTGCAGCAGATGTGACCAGGCATGCATGGATGGGCTGTCCATTCTGCAGCACGGGTCTCGGGGGAGCTCAGGGCGAATTATATAGCACTTTTTGTCATATTAAGTTATACCTCCAGGCCTGATTTATATAGCCATTTTCCCGAAGAGTCGATGGGTTCGTGGGTCGGCAAAATTCACTGTGTAAGCCTCCCCCACCTCCGTCGGTGCTCGGCAAAATTTATCGCCGGGGACCCCAAAGCCCAGAGGCGATTCTTAATCCCAGCCCTGCCTGTGTCCGCAGTCTTTTTGCTCGTTAATACTCTTAACTGACAGGCATAATGAAAATGCACTCGCGTAATCAAACCCGCTAGGCCGTCTAATTAACAACTCATTAGGGGTTCATCATTATCGCACAGTACGCCGCTGTCTAAGACTGGTGAAAGTAGACAGCGCGGGGTTCTGTTTTGCCTTAATGAGTTCTGGACATGATTCAAAGTACAGATGTTTTCTGCCTGACTTGTGTCTGACAACGTGCGGTAGATAAGGATGGGGCGTTCTCATCAATGTCCGACTCATAACGGCGGCGGGACTCCGGACACAGAGGCGTTAGAGCAATATTTTCTGGGAGAACTTTTATACAGCTAAAAACTAATGATCAATTAATACTGTGTATTGTGCAGATATTTAAATGGGTGTTGGTACTTACCAATAGTTTTATGAGTGGTTCATATTAATGGAAAATCCTGTTTTGTAGTTATGAAGCTGGCTTCTTCCTACTGCAAACTGGGCTCCTCCTGATCTTTTCTTCCTCACTCCATGTTTTCTGTTTCCTGCCAGTTTTTCCAGATCTCATGGGTGCCATCCCCATCGTCCTTCACGGCAGTGTACTGTTCTTCTGCGCTGTCCTCATAGTCTTCTCAGCGGTGGCCTCAGCGTTCTTCCTGTTCAATGCCTTCAGCAGACCCTATGAGACCCTGCATGGACCCCTGGGCTTGTACCTGTGGAACTTCATATGCTGTGAGTAGACCTCCATGCATGTGCAGGAACACGCAAAGATGCATGCATAATTACATACACATGCGTGCACGCATGAACACATACACTGTCAGAAATACTATCAGCCGTCCGCATGTCGAAAAACACACATCTAATTGATATGTTCTCTTCAAAATCCTCCTATTTATTTTTCTAAACATAAACAAATGTGTGAGAAACAAAGCTTACCCAGAATGCCGTGGGACAGGTGTCTGCAGCAGTCTGGTGATGACCCTTTTTGCCTCGGAGGTGAGATTCCATCGCTTGTCAGAGAAGATCGCCAACTACAACGAGAGCAGCTTCGTCTATAAGACACACAGTGAGCAGTTCGATTACTCTTACTGGCTCATCCTCTTCACCTTCCTCACCCACCTGCTCAACATCCTTCTCATCCGCCTCGCCGGAATACAGTTCCCCTTCCAGGAAGCTAAAGAGCCCGATGTGAGCAGTGGAGCCTCAGATCTTATGTACTGAGGATGCGCTGTGACATTCATGCCCTGCTTTCATATCATGTGACTGTGTTTGGTACTAAAAGAGCAAATTTTTACTGTTCTTGATCATTACCATTACTTATGAAACGAATCTGTCCTTTGTTAGAGAAATTGAGGCGATTTAAACCACAAACCTTAGAATAAAACAGCCATTAACCATTAGGTAGCAATTTATGATACTGACATTACAATGGCACTTTAACTGTTGAAGGAACAACATTAGCAAAAAGCTGTGAGTGTCCTATGGCTGCTTCCATTTAACTGCCCAAAAATCGGTTAACACCAGCATTCTCAGCATGAGAGCAGCAGCTGCACAGAAAAGCCCAAACCACTGTGACTGTTTTTTATGGGTCGTGTCTTTCTGTTAAGTCTTCCTAAAGGCACTCCTGTTTAAACAGCAATTAGTAGAAAATCAGGTGGACCACTGAACTAACAGGACAAACTTCTCACATTTTTTATGGTCCATTACTGTAACTGAGAGTGACAGATGACATTTTCATACTGCATGGATGGTAGATTTCAACAGGATAACAGAAATGCGTCACGGAAACTTACTAACTGAGTCTGCCGGCTTCGAAGTGTTCATTTAATGTGCCAAGTGTTAACTGGTGAAGAGAATGGAACTAACCAGTTCCTTTACATTTTCATTAAATATATTAAGTTTTAAAAGCAATTTCAGTTGTTCAGGCCCTTTACGGATCAAGCAGCAAATCGGTGAGAACCACAAGGTGTATTACAGACGAATGGTGTAAGGTAACCAGGGGCCTGTACGACGAAGCGGGGTTACTGGCTTATCGGGGTAACTTGTCAGATTTAAGGTAGTCTGGGCAAAATGTAAGTGAACGAATATGAAGTCCATTTAAACTGGTACCTTAAATCCAACAAGTTACCCCGATAAGCCAGTAACCCCGCTTCATAGTACAGGCCACTGGTTTGGTTACCTATATGTTTACCCAACATCTGTCCTGAAGACTGCAGCTGTACTTATACTGATGTGCTTTCATGATCTGAGAGGCCCGTGACACTGTCCAGGATCAGTGGTTGACAGATGGAAGAATGGATGGTTAAATAAAGAGGTATCTGTGGTTTTTGTTATGTGATAACTAACTCAGCCTGGAATTTCATTAACCCAGTCAGAAAGCCACAATATTAATTTCAGCAATAAACAGTTCAATGGTTACATTTTCTCCTGCTTGTTTGTGAACTTCGATGAAACAAAACCTTACACAGCGAAGTCACCTGACCACGCATCATTCCTAAACAGTACACATATTAGAGGGCTGATAAACACTTAATTTGCAGTTTCAACGTTACCAAAGGCTGCACATACCTGTCAGGGTATAGGTACCACAGTTGACTTTGCACAAACGGGTCGTGTGTGACAATAAGGCAATTAAAATTGTGGCTGATACACCGCAACACGTACGCGGTACCTGCATAAAAACAAGAGCTACTTTGGTTTAACTATACTAAAAAGGTTATAAACAGAGCAGAGAGGAACTGATGCACAGGAACACGAAGTATGAGGAAGTCAGTGAAACACAGATGATATGAAGGCTGGTAAACGGTTTATCAACAATGGGAGCCACTTTGCGGTCGCTGAAATCGTTATAATAGATCAGAGAAGAAGCTGCATTTAAGTCAACATGGCGTTTGACCAAACACGTAGAAATAAGGGGTCGCCGGATGCAGGTTGTTTGTTCAATAGGACCACTGGGTCGATATACAGTAGGCCTATTTAAATTTGGCAAAACGCTTATTAATTTTTAATAGCCTCGGGCGGAGACCCCGCCTCCCCGCTTGTAGTCGCACCTGAGTCTGCGCTTCGTTTGAGGGAGGAAGACGAAGAGGACGAAGACGCTTTACGTTTGGTCTGTAAGTCTTAGACTGTCTATATTTCTGTTCTTCCCGAACGGAGTCAGGCTAGAAAACTTTACATATTGTTATAAAGGCGGAATGTCATCTTTGTTCTTTTCAGTAACAAAACTGTGAAACGGAACAAAGCTGCACATCTTTGGATACAAATAAATATGAAACTGCATGCAAATAAGTGCATTTTCAATATCAGAATAGGAAAGCGACCGCCACTTTATGATCCCCAGTGATGATAAAAATCACTAAGGTGCTTCAGAGGCGCTCTGGAAAGGCCAAGTCCTTCGGGATCCTGTACACGGTAAACAAACGCTCTTATATGGTGTTTTTTTTTTTTTTAAGATTTAAAAGTAATCTTACTGGTTCTGTGCACTCACAGATGGAAGACTGCGCCGAGAACCGGTTTCAGCATGACAGTGAGGAGATGCACGACATCCTCAGGCAGATATCCGACCTTGTCAAGTGGAGAGAAATCTTCGATGACCGCGGGTAAATGACAACATTAGTTACATATAAGATACTCCACAATGTGGGTGTTTCTATAACTACATAGCACTTAGTACCTACTTCACCAACCTTATGGATGAAATATGAATGACGCGTAATCGCTCGTTTCAGAACCACCTCCTACAGGTAACGTGTACGAGAGGCGCAAGAATCTGCTTAGTAAATTATTCAGACGGTCTGATTACTATCGTGTCTTGTAAAGGAAAACATAACCGTATCTCTTCCTTTTCAACGGCCCATCGACCTCCGCTTGTGTTTCAGGATGGAACTGCGGAATTGTATCACAAAGGTAAGACTTTGTCATCATGCAGTGCTTTCAGATTTTTCTTTCCCGTAATCATGCATACGCAAATTAAATGTCCCGTTCTTGTGTCCAAGGACGTTTAGGTTTTAATTATTTTTAATTACTTAATTACTTTTAGATTTAAAAATTTTAATTCAAGAAATGACCAGTTAATTTGTAAAACTAACTCCCAAACAGGCAGCCAAACTACTATCCCGTTATGTAGTATTAGATTTGGATACCCTTTAGCATAACTAAATAGACCAACCTTCTGTTTTACATCTACTTTACATTAAGGTCAGTAATTTGGTTAACATATGACAAACGTGGTAGACCCAGCGGCTCACCGGGTACTGCATTTGCGTCACACTGCCAGGCATGGGGGTCAAATCCCTCCTCTGTGTGTCCAGTTTGCATGTGTGGTTTTCTTGTTGCATGCGAAAGACATTCAGCTAGTTTAACTGGCATGTATAAATTACACATAGTGCGTGATCCGACATGTGAATGAGTTCTGTGATGGATCTGCATCCCATCCAGGATGTAGCCCAGCCTTGTGCCCTGGGATAGGCTGCTCATGACCAGAATAGGGATTAATGGTTCAAAGATCGATAGATGGACGTATGGGCAGATGTGCTGCAGAGTGCCCCTGCTGGCCATGCGTGTACATTTAAGTGTGTGACAGCCTCTCCTAACTGAACTTGATCTCCTGCTCATTGCCCCAAGTATTCGGTTGCATTAATCACGCTATTCACCTCGTGTGTCAGGGTGTGTGTGTGTATGTGCGTGCACTGGCAGGTGGTCAGCTCTCTGCAGTTACGTGAATCCAGTGCGAGGCACAAAGTCAGCTGTAAGTGACCCGCTGACCCCAGCTTGACTCTCCACCCAGACGCTTTCTGAGAGGGCTGCACTGGAAGGTGATGGAGAAGATGCTGCAGGCAGACATACGTACTGCACTCAGCGCCACTGCACACTGCACTCCCTGCCCTGCCTGGTCCCACAAACCTTAGCTGCTTCCCCCAGCCTCGGGGGAGTCCCTGCCAGCCCAGAGCAGATCATGGTGAGTCCTTGACATGAGCCCATAATCTGTCACCTGCTGGTCAGTGCTATATACTGCCCCCCTCCCCCCTGCCCATTCCTCACACAATGCCCACTAACAGACACCCTCATTTATTCATGAGCTATCTACATGAGAAAGAGGTCCACCAAACTGTGGAGAGTGTGTGTTCATGTGTGTGTCTGCACTTTTAACAAAACATAACCTGCTGAGTAATTACTTTCTACACACCATATATGGCTCTTGACATTAACAAAAGAAATTATTTAGTAAAATGTATAAACTTACAGGCATATAAATGGTTCCAACTTATATATAAACATTAAACTGATTTAATTATCTTATTACTGAATGCCTTGCAGCTAAAAAATATTCATGGTTAATTTTTGTTTTTCTCCTAATTGTTAAATGTCCTCTTATTTCAGGACCTCAGAAAGATTTTATTTGGGAATACTTTTCATTTCTTCAACTATGAGTGGAAGAAATCGGTCTTCCGGTTCAGAGATCCGTGCTCTGAGCTCTCCTACGCACTGCAAGCGGAAAGAGTGAGTCGGCCATTCTGTGAGACTGCTGTTGAGGCCAGTGTGGGGCGCTATTGAGTCGAGTGATCAGTATGGATGCTATGTTGTCTCTACCACATGTTCCATGCAACAATCTGGAAATAATAAGTAACAGTAAAAGGAGGACATACCTGATGATGAAACGTTAGTAACCAGTACCAACTACTTGCAGGGTGGACCTGGAGCCGTCCAGATGGTGGTCCAGGCCAATGTCATCAAGTTCCTGCTGTTCACCTGCCAAAGTCAATCCAATAGCAACCAGCTTCACAGGTGAGGAATGGGCCAGGTAAGGCAGTCATAACAGCGAGAAGCACACCTGAGTCACGCCACAGTGTCTATGTGTCAAAACAGTCTGGGGGACAAGGAGCAGGAACAAGCCTTGGCGTCCGCGCTGTCCGACGTCCTGTGGGTGGCAGGAGAGGAGCAGGCCGCCACTGTTACCCTGGTTACCTCCATGCCCAGCTTTTTCACCCTGCCAGGACATCAGCTGGACAGCATCACTGAGAGGGCAAGTATGCCACACTCATGGAGCAAGGGCTTGGTACACGCTATGCTGACAGAGCTGACCGTAGGTACACGCTATACACACAGAGCTGACCGTAGGTACACGCTATACACACAGAGCTGAC